CCCCCCCCCCTTCCCTCATGAACCCTTGATAATTTTTTTTCCATATCTTACACTGACCCATGTCTCCCTTCACCCACTTTTCTGTTGTCCATCCCACTGGGAGGGGTTGATATGTAGATCATTGTGATCGGTTCCCCCTTCTCCCCCGTATTTTTAAACTTTCTAAGAAATTACCAACTAGTTCCCATTCCCACCAGTAAGGTACAAGTGTTCTCCTTTCTCCACATGCTCACCAACACCTGATATTTCTCTTTTCTTCTTCTTCTTCCTGGTGGATATAAAGTGATATTTCATTATGGTTTTAACTTTCATTTTCCTAAGGTGCCCTGGCGGTGTAGTGCTTATGTTTTGAGCTGCGATCCTTAAGGTCTGCAGTTCACGAAACCATCCGCTGCTCCAAGGGAGACAGAGGGAGCATTCTACTTCTCCTGTAAAGAGTCAGTCTCGTAAACCTACAGGGGCACTATGAGTCAGCATCGACTCGATGGCAGTGAGATTGGTTTATTTTTCAGGGCTAGTAACATTTTACTAGCCATTTCTCTATCTTTTGGGGGAATATGTCTATTCAAGTCCTTTGCCTTTTTCCTTTCTACCTTTCTCTCTTCTTTTCTCATTAGCTCCTGTGTCCTTTTCTTCATTGTGGTAAAATATGTATCTCAAAAATATTTCCATTTTAACCAGTTTAAGTGTACAATTCAGTGACATTCATTACTCACAAAATAAAAACTTTACATTACCCCAAACAAAACTCAATACTCCTTCCCCTTCACCCATCCTGGAAAGTATATGTTTTCTAGAAACTTGGCATGCCCCACTTAATGTATTGCAACGCAGTGTAATAATGAGATTGACATTGCTTGTACTGCGAAATCTAGCCACTTCACGCGTTCATTGAAAGAAACATCACAAAACAGAAAAAAAGGTGTCACTGTTTTTTGTTTTTTCAGAAAAATGTGTCTCAATTTTGGTTTTAAAAATTAGATCACCTACTGGGAGGGTAGAGGGAGAGTGGGTTGGAAAGAGGAAACCTATTACAAGGAGCTATATGTGACCTCCTCCCTGGGGGGGTGGACAACAGAAAAGTGGGTGAAGGGAGACGTTGGACAGGGCAAGATATGACAAAATAATAATTTATAAATTATCAAGGGCTCATGAGGGAGAGGGGAGTGGGGAGGGAGGGGAAAAAGCCGGGGGCTTAAGTGGAGAGAAAATGTTTTGAGAATGATGAGGGCAATGAATATACAAATCTGCTTTACATGATTGATGTATGTATAGGTTGTGATAAGAGTTGTATGAGCCCCTAATAAAATGATTTTTTTTAAAAAGAGTTGTACGAGTCCCCAGTAAAATGATTTCAAAGGGGAAAAAAATTAGATCGCCACTATTTGTGTGCATGTAGAGGCAACATCCAGTAAATTTGGACTTAAGGGTTTCATAATCAGTAACTTTAAAATTATTACTATTTATTCCACAGAGGTCAAATTTTTATTTTCTCTTTTCCTAAAACGCAGGTATTCTCCAGTGTGATTCAGGAACAATAAGAGAAGAGATGCAGATATTTAGACTCTTTTGCCATGAATGTCAACGGGTTTTCCATGATCGCTTGATTAATAATGAAGATAAAAACTATTTCCATGTCATCTTGACAGAAATGGCCAGTAAATATAAACATTTATTGACCTATCATTGGTTTCTTGTTTGTGTGTCTGTGTTGGACTTGGTTGTTCCCTGCAGAAGAAAAGCACTCCGGCTTCTAAAAGGAAAATTAAAATGAGTTGATATGCAGTCATGCAATGTGAATTTTAGTCATTCACGAATGAAAGCTCTCCACTGGTTTGGGTTAAAGGTTTATTATGAAAATTATTGTCTTGAAATCCAAGGATGAAGACTTTAATATTTCAAAGGCAGTATAGAATTTTAGGTAGAGGAAGGAAAGTTGGAGAAATAGTCTGGGAACCAACCAGGATATTGCTAAAGCAGTTCTTATTATTACTTAATTTATTACTTAATGTAACATTAAAATAAATATTAAATATTATTAGTCTCTAATTGAGGTGTTTGTCAACCAAACTAAATAGTTCCGTGTTAACGTGGCTCCCCAAGTTTTCATTTATGCTAATTAAGGCTTCTAAGTGAAGTAACAGTTGATATTGTTCCTATATTTATTATCAAATACATCATTATACCATTAAAACACTACAAACAAATTTATCTAATGATAAATTTATCTAACAAATTTTATTTTTTAAACAGACAAACATTTTGGAATTACCACTGACGTGGAATATTTTTTGAGTAAGCCCATCATATTTGGAGACTTTATTAAGGCAAGTATGTTCTATTGAGTTTATGTCAGTCTTTTAAAACATTTATTTAAAAGTTCAAGTTCTGCCCGAACTTTACTTGAAGCCAAAGGCTTTATACTAGCGGTCAGAAAACGTTAGCCCTTGGCTCAAATTCACCCACTCCTTATTCTTGTAAATAAAATTCATTATAACACAGTAATACCCATGTCCATTCACGTGTGTGCGGGAGCCCTGGTGGTGTTGTGGTTACAAGTTGGGCTGCGATCCACATGGTCGGCAGTTTGAAACCACCAGCAGCTCCATGGGAGAAAGTCTAGACTTCCTATCCTGTCATCAGTTAAGTCTCAGAAACCCACGAGGAGATCGCTATGAGTCAGCTTTGACCCGACAGTGACGTTGATTTGGTTTGCTTTTCAAACTACAACGCCAGACTGGAATAATCACTATAGAGACCACATGCCTTCAAAGCCCCAGATGCTTGATAGCTGGCCTTTTACAGAAAATAGTTACTGACTCCCAATCTAATGGCATGCGTTTTCATTATCGTTTGAGTCAGAGAATAAGCAAGCATGTCATTAGGAAAGAAGCATAGAGGTTTAATCTCTTAACCATCACCAGAACCCCCTTATTACACCCTATGTACCTGCTCAGTTCGTGTTGCCTCTTAAATGATGAGAAGACAGTAGAGTTTCTGTCTTCATTTTAAGGGAGCTCTAATTAGTGGCAAATTTTTCCTTTTATGAAAACCCAGTAACTTTTACACATGGGCCCTGTGTAACTCTTAATCTCACCCCCCTGCCTCGGCTGGCAAAGAGCCATTGTGCTTTACCAAGCTGATTGTTTGTTTATCAGAGTCCCCATGTCTTCAAGAGGGGAAGTACCCTATCTGTTTTATTAACATTCCATCCCAAGATGTGTGCGCAAAGTTAGGTGCATAAAAGATTCTCAGTCAGTGCTGGTTAAATGAATGAGCGCTCCTTCGCCTCACCCACGTGTGTGCTCTTTCATCACTCCGCAGCCCTCTTCTAGTGAAGTGTGTTGTCCTGTGCCGTCAAGTCCATCCTAACTCACATCGATGCCAGAGGACAGAGTGGGACTGCCCCATAGAATACAAATCTGCGTCTCCTACAGGCATTTGGCCAGATCACTCTCTTCCAAATTTCTTGGCACTAACAAGTGCTGCATCTATTTGTGGCCTTCTGTTGATTACTGCAGCCTTGGTTTCACCAGTGCCTTCCCTGTGGTTTGGATTTCCTTCAATACCACCCATTCAAGGGTATTCAATACCACTGAATATACCATGGACTTCCAGAAAAACAAAGACATCTGCCTCAGACAACGTACATTCAGAATATGCCTTAGAAGCAAGCTTAACAAGACTTTGTCTCACATATTCCGGACATAGTATCAGGAGGGACCAGTCCCTGTACAACATGCTCAGTAAGAAAGTCAGTGAAAATGAGGAAGACCCTCCGATGGATTGACAATGGGCTCAAACATAGCAATGATTGTGACGCTGGCCGGGTGCAGGCAGTGTCTCGGTCTGTTGTACGTGGGATCTCTGCACGTTGGGACCCACTCAGTGGCACCTAAAAGCAATAGCACCTGTATTTCAGGAAGCACAGAGCCATGGCTGCTTTCCTCCCACTGAGAAGCTGATGGATTCAAACCACCAGCCTTTTGGTTAGTAGTCCAATGTTTAACCACTGCACCCAGCAAGGCTCCTCAGATGAGCATTATCACTTGACAAATATAAAAGATAAACAACTCATCTGTGTGGTGGCTTGTTTGTAGGTAGAGATTATAGTTTACCTGTGTTTCTAGTGTTATTATCTAATAGGGAAATAAATCAAAGGAAAAGAATAGCTCGACACTTCTTGTGTCACCTGCATATGTTTTTGTCAAAGATTCCAGGTGAAAATACCTCACCAGGCAGTTGCTATAGCAGAGAAAATATGTCAGCAGTAGGTTCCACCACTACTTCTAGTCCGTTCTGGTTCATGACCACCTCGTGTGTATCAGAGTGGAACTGTGCTCCAGGGGGTTTTCAGGAGCTGAATTTTCCGAAGTAGCTCAGCAGGCCTTTCTTTTGAGAGGGCTCGGGTTGAACTTAACACATTTGTGCCACCCAAGGACTGCAGAAAGTCCAAACATTCTCAACAATTTATTGAACCCAAGACGGCTGTTGTACAAAACGGCAGATAGTTATGGCCTTTTAAGAAATCCGTTTACTGTGCATGATTTTCAACCCAGTTGGCTTTTCTGATGCCAACTGCCTTCGAGCCAAAATATGAAACCAGAGTAACGGATAAGTGCAAAACGACACGCAAGCTCCTGCAATTTTACTGCCGAGATCTTGGAAAGTTAGCACATGACTTGAAGAACTACAGGAACTTTCCAGTGACCTGTGAAAATCTGGACCTGGTCCCATTTCCTTGATGTTAAAGCTCTGTTTGTATATGCATGTAGATCATCACAAGATTTACTAGCAACCTAGATTAAATAATGTTCACCTTCTCATTACATACATTTATATATCAAAATTTTTTCCATGTGGTTTTCTCCCACAAATCGCCTTACAGTTTGGAGCAGACAAGAGTGATCGAATTTACGATGACATGCCTGATACGGAGAAAATTGCAAATGTTCTGCAGGACTACCTCGATGATTATAATCTCACAAATCCCAAGGACGTCAAGTTGGTCTTCTTCCAGGATGCTGTAGAACATGTCTCAAGGTACAGTGCTAGAGTGTGCTCGACACTGCGCTGGTCTCATTTCTTTTGGTGTAAAAGATAAAGTCAGATAAAACACTTTACAAGGATTTCTAGATGGACAAAGGTCTGCTAGGATATCTCATTGTAATTTTAAAGGTTTTGGAATATATTTTAAATACATCTAGCATGGACTTTCTACAGAAACCCAAGTGTTATTTTTGCTAAATATTAATAGATTGTTTTCTATTGCTTTTCTATGTTCTGTCTTCTTACAAAAAGATCTGACATGGTTTACAAAGCTGGCTAATTACATACATGCCTGAAGAGGAACTTCAAGTCTACAGAGAAATAAAATGAATGACAGGGTGATACGCCATAATTGCTGGATGGGGAACTCCGAGCCAACAGCCTTCAGGGCTGTGAGGCCTTCCCAGCAGAAGCCACACTTGTGGATTTGAAACTAATGCTTCTGCTTTGCTTCTTGCAGGATTGCCAGGATGATCCGTCAGGAACGAGGCAATGCTCTGCTGGTTGGGGTAGGGGGCACGGGAAAGCAGTCGCTTACGAGACTTGCAGCTCATATATGTGGCTACAAATGTATGCAGATTGAACTGAGCCGGGGTTATAACTACGACTCTTTCCATGAAGACCTGAGGAAGTTGTACAAAATGGCAGGCGTAGAGGACAAGAACATGGTTTTTCTTTTCACAGACACCCAGGTACACATAATAGTTACTGTGTCAGAACAGGAAAGATATAGGGTGCTGCAATTCTGTGCGCTCTCAGTAGTTTGTAGGCTAAAGTACAGGGGACTGTAGTGCTCTGTATACTTTAACAGTGTGTAGGCTGGATCAGGAGATATGTTGGTTGGTTGGTCAATGTGCAAATCATAATATGCTGTGTTGGAAAATTTTAGTGGTAAGTTATGCGTTAACACTTTTTATTCTGGAAATGTATTGGCAATGGGTACTGTGTTAGGCTAGGTTGACCAGAGAAACAAATCCAGGGACCCTCATATATGTCTAAGAAAGGACTTTATATCAAGAAGTAATGACATATCGGGAAAGCATCCCAGCCCAGTCCAACTCAAGTCATAAGTCCAGTACTAGTCCCTCTGCAGACTCACGCAGTCACAAGCAATGATGCCAATTGCAGGAAGATCACAGGTTGGTGAGTGCAGAGTTGTTTCGATCCAATGGATGTAGGAACATCCCCAGGGCTCAGGCAGGTCTCAGAGTAGCTTGCCAGCAGGCAGGAAGGTGCAGGCAGAGAAAAAGAAGGAGGTTCCCAGGCCCCTCTTCATGAGAAGGCATGACCACAAGGAGGCACCATCAGACTATGGATCCGACTGACAGGTTGAATGCTATTCCCAACACTTTAGTTATCTCCAAGTTGACTGTGAAGTTAGGTAATGACCTCAGGTACCTACAATCATTACATTTCCCTTAAAAATTATAAGAGCTGCATACAAAATTGGATATATAAGAATATTTGGTTCAATGTCTCTGAATAATAGTTAATAATTTAAAATAGCCTCATCATTCAGGAAAAGAGAGAGTTACATAGCAGATTACAGCACAGGAGTATAAAAAGTATGAAAGTAAATTGTTTCCATATTTACACTCATTAACATGAAAAATATAATATGTTGCTATATCATAAAATGTTTTCAATGTTTGGGTTTAATACTTATGTAAACAGATAGGCCATATCCACATACACAATGTAAAAACATCTAGAGCATGGAATGGTGAGTGATTTTTACTAATCTATAGTTTCTAACTGTCCTCATTAGAAACTAGATTCCTTATTAAGGAATTTTTAACACTTATTTTAAAGATCAAACAAACCACATTGGGGGGGGAAAAAAAAAAAAGCAAACTCCAAGGGTTAAATTTTCAAAGACCAAATCACTTTGTCTTACTCCACTTTTAACAACAAACAAACATTTTTACTGTTGAAAAGCACAATAAATGTAAAAGGTTTTTATATTAGCGATAGGGAAACATGGTCATAATAACAAAGATTCATAGTTTTATATATATGTATGTGCAAATCTATGTAAAACTTTGAAATGTGAAAAGTAATTGAAAGAAGCACAATAACAAAAATTGAATTTAGTCTGCTGCTTACTGGTAAATACAAAACAAAATAAGTGTGTCTTAAAAATATAAAGAACAATTTCTATAAACCTAACTAGAGAAACAAAAGGCTTGTACAAAGAAAACTACAAAGCACTACTAGAAGAAACAAAGATGAGACTTCCATAAACGGAAGACTGTTCCAAGTTCATGAATTAGGAAGACTTAATACTGTGAAAATGTCATGTAAGGCAATCTCTATATACAATGCCATTCCTATCTAAACCCCAGGACTAGTCTTCAAATAAATGGACAAACTAAAGACCAACTTTATATCAGAAGGAAAGAAACCCAGGATCAGCAAACCCTTCTAAAATAGGAAGTCTCTCGCTCTCTGACTTTCAAACCCATTGCATAACCTCGGTAGTCAAAACAGCTCGTTACTGGTACAACAGAAACAGAGACCAAAGGATGGGATAGAGACCTGGAAATAGGGTCAAGCACCTATACACACCTGCTTTTTGATAAAGGGCTGAAACCCATTAAATGGGGCGCGGGTAATCTTTTCAATAAGTGATGCTGGTGAAATTGGATCTTCATCTGCAAAAGGATGAAGCAGGGTCCATACCTCAAAATATTCAAAATCCATGAAGTATTTATGTACTTTCATTATTAATTTGACTCCTTTTAATTTGTTCTAAGAGAATAATCTAACTGGAGAGAAAAGCTATAGGCCCACATATATACTTAGGACATAATTGAGATTGTGAACCATCTAAGCCCATCAAATAAATGTATGGGGCATCAAAAAATGATATGAGTATATATGATAGACTTCTACACAATTGTGGATTAATATTTATAATAAGGCCATAACTAAAATGCTTACACATATGACTTGAACCTGTGAAACGGCCATAACTTCTAAGAAACGTAACAGGAAAGAAAAATTAAAACCTAAATGAGCTTGCTAGCTGTGTCATTATGATTTTAGATAAATTTTGAGATTATCTTTGATTAAACACCTAATTAAGACAATGCATGTTAAGTTACATATTTACTTTACCATCCATACTCATATATACAGAGTGGTGAATGAGTTGTAATGACCGTTCTGCTTCCTTCTACAGATTGTAGTGGAGGAGTTCCTAGAGGATATAAATAACATCCTGAACTCGGGTGAGGTGCCTAATTTGTTCGAAAAGGACGAACTGGAGCAGGTGTTAGCTGCCACGAGACCCAAAGCAAAAGAAGCAGGGATTTCGGAGGGGAATAGAGATGAGGTAGGACACAGCCAGACTGACACGTGGGTTTGTAAATGAAAGACTGCCTTCGTATTTTGTTTTTAGAAACCCACACATTTTCTTAAAGAGTCTGTGAATAGGGAAGGGGAAAAAGAAATGTGCTTGGAAGACCCTGAGGTTCTGTTAGGAGTGATGGGAAATTTGGGGGATTTGGGCCCCTTTGCCAGCAGCTGAGGCCAACCCGCCGCTACCACTCAGGACAGAGCAGCACTGCCCCCAGCGTTTGCCCGGCTGTGATCCGCGTGGAATTGGGCTCCCACATCTTGCTCCCACACAGTGGAACCACCAACCTTGGTTAGCAGCGGAGTCCTTAGCCGGTACCCCAGGACTCCTTAGTACTTTCTTGGACATGCACTATTTTTAAAAACTCAGCACATACACACACACTGTAAAAGAGTCCATGAATAGAATAATTCCAGCATAATTGGATTTTCTTCATAATCCCGTTGATTTCATCTTATGAGTTTAAATTATTGATTCACCAGGCTGTGCAAAGCAAAAATAAATAACCAAACAGAAACCCTGCCGTGCCACGGGAAGTCGGTCTTGTCCCAATTGGCCGGCTTCCTATATTCTTCTTTAAGCCCAAATGTGTTCACACACCTGCCGTACCCACCTGAGGGAGAGCCCAGTATGTGAACCCTCTGACCTACCAGGAAAGCAATCGCACAACCAAGACGATGCATTTCAACTCACTCCGAAACAGGTTTCACCGCTCTCGACTTTCATTTGGGTTTTTGTTGTTGTTGTTGTTGTTGTTCAGGTGTTTCAGTACTTTATCAGCAGAGTCCGTCAGAAGCTGCACATTGTTCTCTGCATGAGCCCCGTCGGGGAGGCCTTTCGGGCCCGGTGTCGGATGTTTCCATCCCTTGTGAACTGCTGCACCATTGACTGGTTTGTCCAGGTCGGTAACAACCTTGCACGTCTCATGGAGAAGTTGGACTTGCTTGAGTTCATATTGTCCAGAAAGAACTCGAGGCCTCAGGCATTATTGTTAAGGGTCACTAGGAATTCATAATAGGGATGAAATCACCATATGTTGTCAATGGGCAAATGGATTTAGTAGTGTGGACTTTATTGGTGATCTTGACAAGAGCTGTTGTAGTGGAACGGTGGGAGAGAGAGACCAGGAGAGATCGGAGAGCAAGTAAAGGCTGTGCTTTCGAGGAGCTCGTCCCTAAAGGAGAGCAGAGCGGTGGCCATCGCTAGAGGGGCGTGTGCAGTCGGCGAGAAGGACTTTTCCACGGGAAACGCAACCTGAGCCTGAGCTGATGACAATCCCGAAAGAGAACGAGTGCAGTAGACAACGGGGAGGGCTGTGGGACGGATACTGTTGAGTAGAAAGGGACAGCACCGTGGATGAAAGGGCTGAAGGCGCATGCGCAGCTAGCCCCAGAGGCACAGGAAAGAAGACAGGTGCAGACACAGAGAGGCAGGTGAGGGGCCACGGGGCAGGTCTGTTTCACTGCTTCTATTTGACAGTGATCTAGGAAGCAACACCAACAACTGAGGGTAAAGAGAAAAGAGGATGAGTGGATAGAGCAAAGCATTGAAATAACTACTTAGGCCAGGACAAAAGGGAACATGTTGGAGGTGGTATAGTGGTTACACATTGGGCTGCTAACTTCGAGGTCAGTTGTTCAAAACCACCAGCCACTACTTGTGAGAAAGATGGGATTTTCTACTCCCATAGAGTTCTGGTCTCAGAAACTCACATGGGGCAGTTCTACCCTGTCCTCTAGAGTCACTGTGAGTTGACATTGACTCAATGGTAGTGGGTTTGGTGCCTTTTTGAGAAGGGCTTCTGAGCCACACGAGGGCCCCCGCGATCTAGTTGTCATGAAGTTAAAGTGAGACCAGTGGGCGTGGACGCATCTTTGCCCCAGTCATGCTCAGCGGCACGGCTGTCGTCATGGAGCAACAGATTGCATTTGAGTAGGGTTCAGGGAAACTCAAAGGCACAAGAGAGGGATGATGGAGTTCAAGTACGACCAGGGCAATGATTGTAATGATGAGCCCGCAGTCCAAACTGCCTAATGAGGACTCGAGGTCCTGGAAAGATGCTTTATCCACAGACTCATCCCAAGGACACCCAATCACTTATTCAGTCAATGACAGCGAGCCCTTTGCTGTTTCATTCAGGAAGGGGCAGGCGAGGCGGTGAGGTGAGGTGGGGTTCACAAGGCGACGAAGAGTTCTAGAGAATTGTTTTTCCTTCATTGCTCAGCTAACTATATAGGATTGAAATGGCCAACAGATTTTCCAAACTGTTTTCTTATTTAGTGGCCCAAAGAAGCACTTCTGTCCGTGTCAAAGACCTTTTTCTCCAATGTTGACCCTGGAAACGTCGACCTGAAAGAGAAGCTCTCCCTCATGTGCGTGTACGTGCACCTGAGCGTGTCGCAGATGGCGGAGCGCTACTACACGGAGCTGCGCAGGCGCTACTACACGACGCCCACCTCCTACTTGGAGCTCATCAACCTCTACCTGTCCATGTTGAGCGAAAAGAAGAGGCAGTTGGTTTTAGTAAGCTCCATGTTGTCCATGGGAAACGGTTTTCTTTTTCTTCTCTTAGTGGCTTGAACTCAAAGCAGTTGCCAGAGTAAGTGCAGAATCTCTGTGCGGATTTCCCTGCATCCCGACATGTACCCTGGAGAGGCTGACAGCAAGGCATCTCGCGCTCGATCTGGAGTCTGACCAGCCAGGGGCTTCCCCTTCTTGATCTTTCCGGGTCGTTCTTGGTTCATTTGCACAACTGTCTCGACTTGGTGTGCACATAGGGACATTGCGACAGCAACAGCATTGGGGCCAGTCATTTCTGCATCATGCAACACACAGAATAACTTTACGTAAAGCAATAGAGATGGGATTTTGTTGTCTAACATGTCAGTGGTTCCTGTTAACGACAAGAACTTTTTAAAATCATTTTATTGGGGGCTCGTACAACGCTTACCACAATCCATACACCCATCCATTGTGTCAAGCACATTTGTACATTTGTTGCCCTCATCATTCTCAAAACACTTGCTTTCTACTTGAGCCCTTGGTATCAGCTCCTCATTTTTTCCCTCCCTCCCTCCCTCCTGATAATTTATAAATCATTATTTTTCCATGTCTTACACTGACCGACGCCTCCCTTCACCCATTTTTCTGTTGACCATCCCCCAGGAAGGGGGTTATATGTAGATCCTTGTAATCGGTTCCCCCTTTCTACCCGACCTTCCCTCCACCTTCCTGGTATTGCCACTCTCACCACTGGTCCTGAAGGTTTCATCTGTCTAGATTCCCTGTGTTTCCAGTTCCTATCTATACTAGTGTATATCCTCTGGTCTAGCTGGATTTGTAAGGTAGAATTGGGATCGTGATGGTGGGGGGCAGCATTTAGGAACTAGAGGAAAGTTGTATGTTTCATCGTTGCTACACTGCACCTTGACTGGCTCTTTTCCTCCCTGGGACCCTACTGTAAGGGGATGTCCAGTTGCCTACATATGGGCTTTGGGTCCCCACTCCGCACTCCCCCTCATTCACAATGATATGATTTTTTTGTTCTTTGATGCCTGTTACCTGATCCCATCGACACCTCATGATCACACAGGCTGGTATGCTTCTTCCATGTGGGCTTTGTTGCTTCTCAGCTACATGGCCTCTTGTTTACCTTCAAGCCTTTAAGACCCCAGATGCTATAACTTTTGATAGCCAGGCACCATCAGCTTTCTTCACCACATTTGCTTATGCACCCACATTATCTTCAGCGATCATGTCGGGAAGGTGAGCATCATGGAATGCCAGTTTAATAGAACAAAGTGTTCTTACATTGAGGGAGTACTTGAGTAGAGGCCCAATGTCCATCTGCTACCTTAATACTAAACCTATAAATATATGCATACAGATCTATTTCCTCATTGTCATATATAAATATATTTACATATGTACATATCAGTATTTAGACCTCTATAAATGTCCTTTGCCTCCTAGTTCTTTTCTCTATTTCTTTTTACTTCAAGAACTTTTTTATCACACGGACTCTGTACAACGCACAAGCCCACCCACTTTTCTCTTGCTGTGCAACCTTGGACTTATGATGTAACTTCTCTCAACCTGAGGAGAAAATTGGTCTAAAAATAATTGTATTTTTCCTCGTGGACTGTTGTTGAATGATACTGTTTGTGAAGCACTTGGAGTTTGATCTGACACATACAATGGGCTCAGAAACTAGTGGCTGCCAGTCATCACCGTTAGGTGTCAAATAACATTTTAAGCACAGTAAAAAGAAAGCATTTAACATTCAGATACCTAAATCCTTCTCAGCAGATTCACAAACCCACTGCCATCAAGTTGCTTCCCACCCACAGTGGCCCTCGAGGAGCGAGTGGAACTGCTCCATAGGCTTTCGGAGACCACACATCTGTACGCAAACAGATGGCCTCGTCTCTCTTGCATGGAGCAACTGATGGGTTTCAACTGACTTTGCAGTTAGCAACAAAATGCTTAACTCACTGTGCCACTGGGGTGCCTTTCTGTGGATAATTACCTGATAAAATACATGCCTCATGGAACAGAATCTGCCCATTTGAACCAAAGCTTTCTACCCTGCCTTCACTCACACACACAAAGTCTGGCAGCCAGACCCCACCCTCTTTGACCCTAGTCAACAGTTCCTAACTATAGGGAAGTGGGTTCATGTCCAGCAGCCAGAAGTCGGCAGAGCAGCTCGATACCTGGGGCCTCGCAGCCTTGACAGCCCACCTCAAGTGAACAAACTCCTAGAGCAGTAGCCTCCAAGGATTCCTATTGGAACTCGTGCTGTATCCACTTGATAGACTCACACGAGCCAACAGAGGGGAATAACAATGAATACGATGTCATCTCCACCCAACATGGGCTCACAGCCCAGTGAACTCGATGACCGGGGCCTGGAGCCAAACCCACCATGTGCGTTCCAGAGTCATCCTTCAGAGTTCTGCCACTTGAGGAGCTCTGCAGGGTCTTGGCTTTAAGCTTAAATTTTATAAATCTAGGCTTTTCCAATCCTAGACATGAGTAAGGAAGCCAGTAAACCTAGAGTTTATTATACTCACTAAAACAGGTATTTCATTGTCATTTAGGCACTAGGTCGGGTGAAGAATGGTCTGACCAAGCTATTAGAAACGAACATACTAGTAGATAAAATGAAATTAGACCTCTCAGCTTTGGAACCTATCCTTTTAAAAAAATCACAAGATGTTGAAGAGCTGATGGACAAACTAGCAGTGGATCAAGAGAGTGCCGATCAGGTAAGCTGCGTGACCTGCCAGTGCTGACAAGAATCACCAGTTAGATGATCACCCATATGCAATGAACTAATAATATATGTGATGTATTAGAATGGTAGATAAACCCAACCATATATAAATACTTTAAAATTTTCCCCCCAATACATCATCCAGTTCTCTCCCTAAAAATGGGGTTATTTCCATGAGTGGGACAGGGGGAATTATGAGCATGGTGTCACCTACATATCATAGTCCTCTATTCTGAAGGAAGTGTTGTGATAGTAATTTCCCCTCTATTATGCGTGAAGAAGGACACAAACTCACTCACTGCCATCAGGTCAGTTCTAACTCATAGCAACCAGAGCACAACTGCCCCCTTTGGGTTTTGAGAGCTTAAATCTGGGTAGGCAGGTAGGGAGAGCATGCAATCCAAAGGGCAAATGAGACTTCTTATTACTGGTTTTGAAACATTGAAATCCAAGTATCGAGACTACTTACCCAGTCACCTTTTAATGACTAGGTCCGTCAAATTGTACAAGAAGATGAAGCAATGGCAAAGGTGAAAGCCGAAGAAACCCAAGCCATAGCTGATGATGCTCAGAGAGACCTTGAAGAAGCTCTCCCTGCGCTCGACGCTGCCAATAAAGCTTTGGATTCCTTGGATAAAGCAGATATATCTGAAATCAGAGTTTTTACAAAACCCCCAGATATGGTCATGACAGTAATGGAAGCAATTTCCATTCTCTTGAATGCAAAGTGAGTAATTCAGATTCATGTATTACCAGAACACTTAGTCGGATTTCTTAATGTTTTTTCCCCCTCCATTTTATTATATAATTTCATGGTCTTCTGCATTCACTCTGTGATTCAGTCATTCAGCAAGCATTTTTTGAATATCTACTTTGTGCTAGATGATAGAAGATATCAAGGTAAAGATTTCCCCTACTAGGGGCATGCGGTTAGTAATAAAAGAGACGTGAAAAATAAAATTAAAAACATTCCAAGGCCATATGAGCATTGCATAGTTTGGGGAGTGCCGAGGGGGAAAGTGCCTGCGTCCACATGGTTATTCTGGAGTTGATGTTCAGACAGTGAGACCGTGGGAAGAACTCAGGGACCTTACATGCTTGCAGAATGAGATGGGGCTGGTGGAAGCAGGAATGACTACTTCATGAAAGGCCTTGTATGCTGTGCTAACAGTTAAAGTTACACATCTCATCCTGAAGATATGTAGTTTCCAAATTTTCTTTAACAATGCAAACCATTTTCCTCTTCCTGCAAAATGTATGTCATGAGGAACCAACCTTCCTATGCAAAACTCATAAGAGCCAAGGGAGAGAATCCAGCACTCCCTCCTGGGGGCACCAGGGTGAAGCCTGGGGGCTCTTCAGAGAACAAGGGGGCCTGACAACCACTGACTGTTTCTAACACAGACAGGTTTTCGCGTTAGAAAGAGCAATTTGGCGAGAGGTCAGAAGGGGCAAGATGGACCAAGAGAATTATATCCAATTGGAATGTGATTGGAATGGTCCTGACAAGAGACTTTAAGGCAATGGAGGGAAATGTGAATGCCTAGGGAATTTAAAAACTAAACCTATTAAAATAAAACTATTATCTCTGTACTGCCTTACCTTTCTAAAACTGTATGACGTTTTCATTCTTTCTCTGCCATAATTGAGATGGAAGGAACCTTAGTTCCTCCCCATGAATTGCAGTGTACTTTTACAAACTACTGGACCTATAATATAGGGATGGAAAAGACCCCCTTATTGGAAATAATAGGGTAATGTTCTCAAGGGAAGGCATTTATTTTGTCCTTTGGTCACTTTATGACGGTGTTTGTCTTTCAGGCCTGATTGGCCAACAGCAAAGCAGATCCTTGGTGACTCGAACTTCCTGAAAAAGCTGTTAGAATATGACAAGGAAAACATAAAGCCTCAAATCCTGGCAAAACTTCAAAAGTATATCAACAATCCTGACTTTGTGCCTGAGAAAGTAGAGAAAGTGTCCAAAGCCTGTAAATCCATGTGCATGTGGGTACGAGCAATGGACTTGTACTCTCGGGTTGTCAAAGAAGTTGAGCCAAAGAGACAGAAACTCCGTGCGGCCCAGGTACATTGTCTTTTCTGTATTAGAGAATTAAAAGTTGTGGCCATTTATCACTCAAGATTTTATTCCTTAATAAGGGCCACTGTGCCCGCCCACCACACCACACACACTATGTAGACGGTGGCAGGGTTCTTGGAAATTAGCTTTCTTCTAATCAATAGCTAACTTGGCAACTTTTTTCTTCTTCTTCCGCAATGGCCTCTAGAATGAGCCACCTTCAAGCATAAAAGGAAATAAGCAAAGCTATCTGAAAAGAGGGATGTGGCTGTAGGTGTCTTCTAGCTCTAGCATCTGATGGTCTAGGCAGCCAGATGTGAGAGGCGTGGGCTTCTCAAGTAGAGCAAAGCCTGGTCACCCAGTGAGCAGGTGACCTGGATCATCAGGGGCCTAGAACAGGGGGCAGCAACCTTTTTCTCTAAAGGTCTAGATAGTAAGGAAGCTATCTTGATCTCTGTTGCAAAAACAGCCAGGTAGCACACAAATGAATGTGCCTGGCTTACTCCAATGTTATTTCACTTATTGAATCTCTCTAAATGAGGACCCCTGGAGCTCAGCTTTATACAGTCCCATGTCGTTTCTTAAATTATCACACGCCATGACATGTATTCTTCTCTTGCTTTTTTTCAAGACCATTTAAAAGTGCAAACACTCTTCCCTTTGGGTTCTCAGGCGGTACAAAAAGCAAGCAGCAGGCTGGTGATGGCCCGCAGGCAGCCTGTCCGCCTGTGGACGCCGACCCTGCTCTAAAACCCTAGTCAGTAAAGACGAGTTCTCACTACACCACTTGTTTCATCATTTAAAGCTAATATCCCATTGTAATAATGAATTCATCCCAAACGGTTGGTATACCGTGTCCCTAGTCCTCTTAGGATTGTTTTGTTGGACTTGTTCGCTTCTGTTCTGTTTGGGTTTTTTTTTTTTACTCTATTTTACATTTGTGCTAACTCTTTTGTATCTTCACATCAAAATCCTTTTTAGAAGAAAAATCTGGGGTAAAAGTCAGATTTATCATTTCATATATGTTTTTGAATCTGCAAGTTCAGCTTTGCCTGGGGACCTCTTCTTAAACTACTTACTTGACGTTATTAGGCTGAGCTCGATGTGACTATGGCTACCCTGCGAGAAAAGCAAGCATTGCTGAAACAGGTCGAAGATAAGATAAAGAACCTGCAAGATGAATACGACAAAGGCGTGAATGAAAAGGACAGTCTATGTAAGTAGCTCCTAGAACTTACCCTGGTCAGCAAGGCCTGGTTCCAGAAGCAGAGGTCTCCAAGCAGTCCTGTCTCAGCTTTCATCCAACATGTAGGCTATGTTTCCATTCATCTCCTTCCATTAACCTTCTGGTAGGTGTGTTAGTCTGGGTAAACTAGGCACACAAATCCACAGAAACGCATATGGATAAGAGAGAGTTTTATATAAAGGGTAAGTGTACATTAAGAAAGCATTCCAATCCAGTGCTTCCAAGCCCACAAGTCCAGCCTTAGCCCATATGTCCGACACCAATCCACAAAACACATATGTCCAACACCATCTCACAAAACACATGCAATGATGCTGACTGCAGGAGGAAAGCCGAATCAGTGAACGTGTAAGCATCTCAGCACTGGCAGGGGTCTCCACACGGGTGCTCCAGCACCCAGGGTTGCACCATGGTAGGTCCATGTGGCTTCTCCTCAGGGATGTCTTGCAGGAAGTGAGCCTTGCCAGCTGAAGCAGGGAACTGGCTAAGGCAGCAGCACTCTTGTCCAACCATCAGAAAGCAAGAGACCCAAGAACTAGAAAGGCGAGGCTCACGGAGCTATTTTATCTCTGTGCCCTTCAATTAATCCCACATGTGTTTATTGGCCAGGTTGGCACAATAAACCTTAACTATCTCAGTAGGAAACTAGAAAAGTCACATATATTACATATACTCCACATCCTATATCTGAGCCAGGCTTCCTTGATCAGATACGGTGTTATGATATGGTTATTTGGGGGGCATATGGTATAATGAAAGGCTGCATATGCATTTGATATAGAAAAAAACGACTCCCAAGGCATAGTGAGAGCATCATTTTTTCCCAGAGTAGAGGGGCACCAAAAGAGAGAGAGTTCTTTGCATGGAAGAGGCAAGGTTGCATTTAATTCTGAAATGAGAAATAATGCTGAGTTTGTGTGAGCTTTCATCATAGAGATGTACTGGCATAATTAGCTAAATAACACTAATTTCACTGTAAGCCAAAGCAGTCGAGTAAATGTTCAACCTGGGATATGGTGGTTCTTACCTTCTGTACCCATTTGATTCCTAGTCAATGAACCCCATGGGTAGCCATCACCTGTCGTTGGAGACTGACACGTGACTATGATACTGGACAAGTTGTAGTGGCGCATCCAGACTGACAGACTAGGGAGAAAGGCCTGGCAATCGACTTCCGAAGAGCAGCGAAGGCAAACCCTGTGGGTCACGATGGCCAGAGCTGCACCTGGGTGGGAATGGAGCAGGACCAGGCAGTGCTCTGTGCCATTGCACATACAAACAACAGCAAATCATGAACATTATAGGAAAATGCCAAATAACAGAATCTGATTTCTAATACTTTTCCTAGCTAAGAACATGTCCCTGACACAAGCGCGCCTCGTTCGTGCCGGCAAGCTTACAGCAGCGCTAGGAGATGAGCAAATCCGATGGGAAGAAAGCATTGAGAAATTTGAAGAAGAGTTATCCAACGTTGTTGGGAATGTGTTCATAGCCGCGGCTTGTGTGGCCTATTACGGCGCATTCACGGCCCAATACAGGCAATTGGTGAGAAACCCTGCATCCGCCTCTCAGCGCTGGAATGGAGCGGGAACTGTGAAGGGTTGTCATGAGGGAAATGGGTTGGCATATTCCACACGTCCCCGCCTCTGTCTATCAGCCAATGATGAGCTGTCCCTAGACTGACCACAGCACAGCGCCCCCTCCCCTTCTGCTGCCCTAAGCAGCTGCTCATCACAGCGTCACACAGCCTTCTGGGAACCTGAGAGGGAGGAAAGCGAGGTCAGAGCCCCTCTCCCTGCTGAGCAGCAGTAGCCCCTGCGCCGCCCGCCCGGATGAAATGTTCCCCTTTGGGAGTTTGCTGCCGAGGGCAGGGCCACGGAAGAGGACGGGACGCGGGAGAACTCTGTGGTCCATTTAATCTTTATCTTCAAAATTAATAAAGCCTGCCGTTTATCGGAAAATAACAGTTCCAGCCAAGTGCGCTTCCCAGGAAATTAAATTATTTAGAGGGATTAAATTATTTAAAGCCATCTCTATGAAATACCTTTCTCAAAAACTTTTCACTCTTGTCTTTGCCTGATAAGAGCTAGTTCGGTGTAGAACTCATATACAGACTAAGGAATTCAGGGGCCCTCTGGTACTTGGGGCCTAGTGGGGTGACAGTCCTCTGGTAAGCCGGGCAGTACCATTGCCTTACTCCTGAACACCACACGTTGGGTGTGCCCGCATTTACTGAGAAGCCCTCCCTCTGAAAGGTCACATGTGAGCTCTCCTTCTGCAGCTTATCGACCTTTGGATCACGGATTGTCTGGATCTGAACATCCCAATTGATACTTCCTTCAGTCTCATTAACATCCTTGGAGACCCTTATGAAATACGGCAGTGGAACACTGATGGGCTGCCTCGTGACATGATCTCAACAGAAAATGGTATTTTAGTTACTCAGGGGCGACGGTGGCCGTTGATGATTGACCCACAGGATCAGGTATGTAACACATGCTCACGACGAGTCCTCTGTAGATACTCCTTTACACTGTACTGCCTACTGAAAACCGTGGAAGTTGAATTTAGCACTGAAAATTATAGACGTCGGATGTAGCACAGACCCACTCCTCACTTACCGACACACTGAGCTACCCCAGACCAGCTCATACATGCAAAAAAGCAGCATTGTATGCCAAGAGAAGAGGACTGCATCAGATCACAAAACGGAGGACAGCGCCATCATCACCTAGCTGCCGAAGTACCCCTCACATAACTGACACATGCCATCGTGACCTAAGTGACAGAGGTCATCGTGACAGAAATACCAAACCATTGAGAATCATGGCCTCCCCGAGTTCTCACATCACCTCAAGCGCCACAACCAACATTACTCTCACCGCACACCTCCACATTCATTGCTGCCGGAAGCACCTGGTTAACGTACGAATCCTTTCTTCACTCTTGTGGGAAAATGACAGTGACTGAGGAGCAGGTGTCCTGGTAACGTCACAGCAGGGCAGACCCAGAAAGAGGTTTGGAAGGCAGCTAGTTCAAGACCCTTCTCCGGAGGAGGTGGGAAGTCGTCAAGGAGTGTTGAGTGTGCTACACACTTGGCCTTGAGTGATTTTGTTTAAGAGGTCGACCTTTAGTTTCCAATACTTATGAGGACAGGAAGTCATGAAGGCTCTGAGGGTTCAAAATGGAGGGGCGGGTGTGATGGATCTTGAGTAAGCCTACCCCGAGTTTACAGAACCCAGTGGCCAACCTGCCCAAGACCAGGGATCAGACTGCGCTAAGCGTGGCTTGGAGAATGGAGCCACTGTGAAAGGAAGGAGAGAGCTTGACTATCATAGGACTCTTTTCCCAGCGAGCTTTTTACTTCATTTGGGCCCAAATTTGAAGAATAACAAGTAGGTCTTAAAATATTTCTTTGGTGGGAGCATCGTTTTATTTTATTTTGTCTTTTTTTTTTTCAAAATTGTTTTTAGATTGAGAAAACTTGCTGAGCTTGATTCTAAAAGCTTCCACTTTCTGACTATGAAAAAAACTCAGAAGTTAATGACCTGCTCTGGCCTTTCTTCTACAGGCAAACCGCTGGATAAGAAACAAGGAAATCAAAAGTGGCTTAAAGATCATCAAGCTTACAGATAGTAACTTCCTACGTACACTTGAGAATTCCATCCGACTTGGTTTTCCTGTCTTACTGGAAGAGGTGGGCCCATTACTTCCTGGTCTCGTGTTCGCTCCCAGCTTTAAGGTCATATCTAGAATCCAACCCAGGGAGAGGTGCATCGTGCCACAGACACCAGGCAGCGCAAGTTTCAAACTGGTCAAACCACTTTCTCCTGGAACAACGGACTCTCACATGGAGAGGAATCTGTTGACTGAAGGAAATGTTTCCTTGCGCAGACATTGCTTGGTGCCAAATGGGGTGGCCTCTATTTCCTGATATTGTTGGCTCATAGTATCCATTGAGCTTCTTGATGGTAAAACAACAACAACAACAACAAAAACTGCCATTTGAGTGGATTCTGACTCATAGTCACCCTGTGGATAAGGTAGAACTGCCCCCCGCCCCCCAACTGAGTTTCTGAGACTGTAACATTTTATGGGAGGAGTGAGCCTCATCTTTCTCCTGAGGAGCCAGTGGGTAGTTTCAAACTGCTGACCTTGAGGTCAGCAGGTCTATGCAGAACCAAGGGTTCCCTTGATTGTTAGCAATCCTCAAAATCTGAACTAGTTACTACTATTATCCCATTTTACCAGCTAAGCAATTGAATCACAAAAAGGTTAGTAAACTGTTTGAGCCAACTTGCTTGCCTTAAAAATCCACCATTGTTCCCACTCCTTAAAGAGCACGAGCAGTCTGGGTGCACTGCTTCTGGTCTGAAGATCCCAGGCCTGCCTGCAGCCTCAGGGGTGATTAGTCCATAAACAAAATAGCATAGGCTTACTTGTACTTTGTCCTCCGTAGTGAGCAATTTCACTTGGGCTTCACCACATGCTGTGATTTAAAACATGAAATAAAACCACATGAAACTGTTCAGTACAGATTAGTAAAGAAGCATAAGCAAGCCTTGCTTACTGTGCTTACTGCATACTTCATTCATTCCTGTCAAGGCTTAGACATCTGGAAAGGAATTCTGAGTCAGGAGGCAGGTGCTGTGGGGCTAGGAGGGAGACACATGACAGCCATACCTGGAAGCAGAATCTTTGAGACAATGGGGCGGGGGCGGGGCGGGAATGAGAAGCTATTTCCTACAGGTTAGTAAGTCATCCTGTGCTTGCCTTACTTTGTGGTAACCACGCCCTTCAAGAGAGGGTGCATTCTTCCCAAATATTTAGACATGGTACGTTAGCACCAAACTGGATTCTTGATACTCATGACAAAGAAGGGAGGTTCTGAGAGACTCCCCTCTCTCTTGGCAGCGGAGGAACCACTGATGAGCAAGCAGCCTCTTAACGCTAAAGCCTTAGAGGTGGCAGTGTTCTTGACAGTGGGGGGTGGCTCCTGTTCAGGACCTAAGACAGAAACGAGCATTCTGGGAGGGCCTGCCCAGCACTCTGACTTGGGCTGGGTGTGTTGTGCTCCCAGCTGCTGTCTACCTTTTCTGGGCCGGTCTTTTTCAAATTTTGTTTCTACTGATCCTGGGGTACAAAATCAACTTGGTCAATCTCTGTCATCAATTTTTCAATGAAACAGGAAGAAAATGAGAGGGGGAAAACCCCACAAAGGTACATCTATAGGTGGTAAGGGTAAATTTTATATTATAATTTTTTGTTTTAAGCCTTCACAAGAGTAGAAAGCATGTCACAGTGTGAAATCAATTGGCTCCTGTGTATCACAGTCAAATACCGGCAAGCCTCGAGGGACCTAGAACCCATCAGGTATTCCCTGAGTAAATATGGCAGTTGGCAATGTCACCATACTCAACTTCTTTTTTCTTTTTTACAGTTTTATTGATATATAATTTGCATATTGTACAACTAATAATTCAATCATATTCAAAAGTGCTGTACAATTATTAACGTAATTAATTTTAGAACATTTTCTTCTTTCTTGCATTCATTGTTGTTAGCTCCCTACTTTCCCCCCCCAACCACCATTCCCATGCCCTTTGAAGACTATTAATGCCTTTACTATCTCTATAGATTTACCTATCCTGGATTTTATATACAAGGAAACACAAGTTAAAACCAGAATCCGAAAATGTAAACCAGTTACAAAATGAAACAGAGAAAAACCTCAATAGAAAAGAAACCAGAAAATATTAAAAACTGGGGCAAATTCAACATTAGTCAAAAGGGAGATCAAATGATAAGGTTTACATTTTAACCAAACTACATCTTTGACAACCACTTTACAATTCACTCTGTCTGACAGCAAGACTATTCACATCCGTGCCCAATGGCCAGAGGGAATTCTCTGGAGGCTTAATCCACATGGGACCTTGCAAATGGATTTGGGCTTTCATTATCATCCATAGCCTTCTGCAAACCAGAGAGTTCCGAATTTAAGTCCTACTCCCATTCCCTCCTCTGGATTTGGACTTTATTATTTACAATCCTTGGATCACACAAACCGTGTCCAAACTCTTACAAATAATGATATTTTTCCTTAAGAAAGTGAACATAGATACATATATACATCATGTAGAGGTCCACAACCATATATTAAATATTTTAGGCTTTGTAGACTACATAAAGTCTCGTGTTCTTTGTTTTGTATTTTGCTGCTCTTTATTCTTATGATCCTTAAAAGTATATAAAATATTTTATAACTACTTTCAACTCTAGAGCCATACAAAACCGGTCACTGGGGTTCCACTTTTGTCCTCATAGCTTGCCAATCCCAACTTACTAACAACCCTGAGAATTCACAGCTCTCGCTTTACCTGGGGTCTGCTGGTCCACCCCACGTCTACTCTTCTTAGATAATTTCTCATGGAGATGATGGTGTCTGTGAGGTTAGTCTAAAGAGATGGGTTGCCCTCACGTCTTCATTTCCTTAGACTACTGATAAGGTTCTAGAGAAAGATGAGGCTGCCTGCTCCCTGGGAAATCCTACAGAGTCACTACGAGTGGGAGTCAGCTCTTTTTTCTTTTCTTTTTTTGATAAAGCAATCATTAGGAAATGTACATAGCTAGAAGCAAAATGAGTACACGAAATAAGTGCCTATAACATCACTTTAAAAGCTCATTCGTAAGACCAAAGGCAATTTTAGACGTTGGTATCATATTAATGGCTTCTTACTCTTGTTTTGTTTTAAAGCTTAAAGAAACCTTGGATCCAGCTCTAGAACCCATTCTTTTGAAACAGACTTTCGTTAGTGGTGGCCGATTTCTCATTCGCCTTGGAGACTCAGACATTGATTACGACAAAAACTTCAGGTTCTATATGACGACCAAGATGCCAAATCCCCACTATCTGCCTGAGGTAAGCTGCCATAGTCTGGAATCCCAGCCGACCTGAATGGTGACCACAGCGTGACGAGTCTCTGGTCTGTGACGCTCTCCTGAGCCGTCCACAGGAAAATGCTCTTGCCCCTCCATTCTCTTCCTCCTCTTCTTCACCCGCCTCCTCCTCCTTCCAGCTTCTTCCACTTTTGTCATGATTTTGATTATGACTGACCTCGTGCTGTTCACACTCCACAGCCAGTTGAGTCTTTAATCCTGCCCACTCCTTCCCTAGATCTCTGTTGGTTTCATGAGGCTTTACACTTCTCCCAAAGGCTCCCCATCTCCTCCTGGTCCACAAGCTGCTCCTCTCAGAAGCACAAGGCACCACTCCCTTCTCATCGTGCATCTCCCTCACTCAGCACAAGGGTGTTCTTGGCCCTCTCTTGTGGTAGGGACAAACGAATCAGAGCGAAGTGGGAATCCATCTGCGGGGGTCTGTCAGTCTTTGAGTGTGCCCATACCGGTAATAGCTAGCCCCAAATAAAGAGGCTGCCACGTGAAACCACTGATGACTGAGCAAGGTTACAGAATCACTTTTCCAATATCCAGTGCCTGAATGTAGAGCTCCAGGGCAGGGACATCGGGTCTCTTAGACCGTGTGAGAGGAGGTGGATGGCCTCCACCTCCTTGCACATGTTCCTGTGCCATGAGAGGATTCAAAAGAACCCCAGCTCGTGTGTCGCACAGCCTAGGAAGTGGCAACAGAGCCAAAGTCAGCTAGAATTTCGTTCTTCTACTCGGTCCAAGGCTCCACTCCCTCACCCCCTTGGGGCTCCGCAGCTCCAGACACATCCACATCGACTCTCCGGGGTCTTTTCAAGCCCGGCTGCACAACTAGGGAACAGACTCTACAGATCAAAGCTTTATTTTTCCACTACTTTCGAAAGTGTCCTGTAGGCACCATTCTAAATAGTGTCACTTTAATTTTAGTTGTTGGATTTCTCATACCTATTAGTCTTTCCTCAACCCCTCACCTGTCAGTGTGTCCCACGGTGATGGCGTACATGTGACTGTGATACCAGACGCTCTGCCACTGGTACTTCAAATACGAGCCGGGTCGCGCATGGTGAACCCGTGTCGGTGGAACTTCCAGACTCAGAACTGACTGGGAAGGAGGACTGTGCTGTCCACTCTGGAGGGACTAGCCACTGAACACCTTGTGAATGGCAGCAAAGCATTGTGTGCTACGGTGCCGGAAGATGGACCCTTCAGGTTGGAAGGCGCTGAAAATGTCACTGGGGACGAACTGTCTTCTCCCAGTAGAGTTGACCTGAATAACCTGGATGGCACAACTCGGGAAATCAGGAAAGGGGTGCTTCGGGGTTATATCCTTTCACCGGGCTTATTCCATCTATATGCTGAGCAAATAACCCCAGAGGCTGGACTATATAAATAAGAAAGCGGCATTAGAATTGGAGGAAGGCTACCTGGCACACTGCAGTAGGCAGATGGCACAGCCTTGCTTGCTGAAAGCCAGGAGGACTTGAAATACTGGCTGTTGGAAATCAAACACTGCAGCATTCAGTGAGGATTACAACCCAATGTAAAGAAATCAAAAATCCTCACAAATGGACCCATAAGCAGCATCAGTATAAATGATGATGGCTTGGGAGCACCCAATAACAACACCATCTTTATATATAATCAACATATACTTCACATTCCATACAATTAATCGCTCAACCATATTAAGAAGATTTATGTGTACATTCATCACCAATTAATATCAGAATATTTTCTTTGCATACTCACTGGTGGTAGCTCACCATTTCCCCCCACCCTCCCCTGCTATGCCCCAAGGCAATGATCAATCCAGTTACTGTCTCTATAGATCTACCTATCCTGAATTTCATATACAAAAAAACAAGAGTCAAAGAAAACAACAACAATGACTAGACAAAACATAGAAATACCTCCATCGAAAAGAAAGCAGAAAATATTAAAAACTGAAACACTTCACAATGAGTCAAAAGGGAGGTTGAATGATATGGTATGACTTTTTAACCTAACTACCATCTACCATAATCAGCTTTACAGTGCTCTCTGTCTAATAACAAAGCTCTTCATATCTGTCAACCCTGATCAGAGGGGATTCATATTGGAGGCTTAATTCATACGCAGGCCCTGCAAGTGGATTTGGAGCTTCCGGTGCCATCCTCAGCTCCTGTCTCCACTAAGTGGTGTCAAGTTCAATGAAACTGACACACTTCAATAGGATGAAAGGACAGCAGTAAAGGCCAAGATCAGTGTTTCCTTCTTAGTTTCAAGTGGTTTAATGACACAACCACTTCCAGTGTTCCCTGTCCCACATCTCATTGATGTCTTAGAAAAGCAATCGGTGTGCTGACTTGCAGCCTTCAGTCCCTTGCACACTTATTAAATATGAAAAGGAGCATTGCACCCTGGACTCAACCTCCCCACTGTTACTAGCTTCTGACCCATGGCTAGATGATTATGCTATCTTCTGGGTCTTAAGACAGTCAACCATGAAGTGGAAATAAAGCTTAATTAAAGGATTTACCATAAAGAGTACTCACTTACCTTTGCTTGAATTTATTGTCTCTTGCTGCTGACTTATTCATGTTAAAGTAAGGTCTGCATTTTTTAAATTGTCTCAATTGTCCATAAAAATATTATGGTGAGACAAAATATGTAAAATGCCACCTATTTATTGTCATAATACACCAAACCAAACTTGCTGCCATCAAGTCAGCACGGACTCATGGGCACCCCTGTGGGTTTCCGAGACTGTAACTGTTTACAGGAGTAGAAAGCCCAGTCTTTCCTGGAGATGCTGGTGGCTTCAAACTGCCGCCCATGCAGATCACAGCCCACTGCATAGCTTCTTTTGACTAAGGACCTACTGTGTACAAGGCACTATCATTGACTCTATTGCCTCATTTAGCCTTCCCAACTACCCTGTAAGTTGTTACTATTATATTAATTTTTATATATCTGGAACTGAAGCTCAGAACTGGTGAATGGCTTGGCTTGCCCTATCTCATGCATTTACGGAAGAGGGCAGCAGCGATTGAAACCAAACTGTTGGTCCTAAAACACCACTTCTACTTAATTCTACCCTCATGAACCCTTGATAATTTATAGATTATTACTATTTTCATATCTTACACGTACCACTGTCTCCCTTCACCTACATTTCTCTTGTTCATCCCCCTTGGAGAGGCAGTTATACATAGATCATTGTGATCGGGTCCCCCTTTCTCCCCCCACATTCCCTCTACCCTCATGGTATCACTACTCCCATTATTGTACCTGAGGGGTTTCTCTGTCCTGGATTCCCTGTGTCGAGAGCTCTTTTCTGTACCAGTGTACATGCTTTAGTCTAGCCAGATTTATAAGATAGAATTGGGATCATGATAGTGGTGGTGGGGGGCATTAAATAACTAGAGAAATGTTGTATGTTTTGTCAGTGCTATATTGCACCCTGGCTGTTCGTCCCTTCCTTGTGACACTTCTGTAAGGGGATGTCCAATTGTCTACAGATGGGCTGTGGGTCTCTACTCCACCACCACCCTCCCCCAGGCAACTTGTTCGAATCAATATGACTGTTTGTTCTGGGTCTTCTGATGCCTGCTACCTGATCCCATTGACACCTCATGATCACACAGCCTGGTGTGCTTCTTCCATGTGGACTTTGTTGTTTCCCAGTTAGAGGCAGCTTGTTTATCTTCAAGCCTTTAAGACCATAGACACTATATCTTTTGATAGCCAGACACCATCAGCTTTCTTCACCACATTTGCTTATACACCCATTTTTTATTCAGCAATCCTGTCGGGAAGGTGAGCATCACACAATGCCAGGTTATTAGAACAAAGTGTTCTTGCGTTGAAGAAGTACTTGAGTAGAGACCAATGTCTGTTGGCTACCTTAATGTTTAACATATAATATATGTGTATAGATCTATACCCCTATCATTACATATAAGTATACTTACATATGTACATGTGTACTTAGGCATTTTTATGTGCTTCTCTTCCAGGTGTGCATTAAAGTTACCATCATCAACTTCACTGTGACCAAATCTGGTCTTGAGGATCAATTGTTAAGGTAAAAAAAAAAAAAGAAGAAGGGGTGAATAGCATCAGAAACAATAACAAAAACGTGTCAGTTTCAGCTTAAAACAACCCTGCAGGACAGAGCACAACTGCCCCATATGGTTTCCAAGCCGCAATCTTGAGAAGCAGACTGCCTCATCTTTCTCCCTCAGACCAGCTCATGGGGTCAAACCACCAACCTGATAGAGAGCAGCCCGGCTCTTAAGCACTGTGGCACGAGAGCTTCTAGTTAAGGATAAGGATTTCCTAACATATTTTTTCTTTTAAAAATATTGAAGAAGGAAATATTTTTAATGTGGAAAAGTACCACATGTTAATACTCAGCTTTAAAGGATGAGCATAGTTCAATTCTCTCCTACTTCCATTACTGCCCAGAGCTGCTGGTGTGGCCCCCAGTCTGTTCAAGCCCCTCCAGGATCTACCCCTAATGCTCACCTATTGTTTGGGCCAGGCCAGCAGCCCCGCCTACTCCCCTTTGCCAGTAGTTCCAACCTTGGGTAACTGAACATAGTCTTGTTCTTGGAGGCTCATTCCTCTACACCTGGGGGGGGGGGGGGGGGGGGGCGGGGGGAACCTACTACTCACTTTTCTCTAGATTTATTTTTAGGGTAATATATGAACCTTTTGGTGGCCTAGTGATAGACACTCACCTCTCACTCAGGTTCACTTCCAGAACAATGCACTTCATGTGCAACTATAGACTGCCAGTGGAGGCATGCGAGTTGCTATGATGCTAGATAAGTTTCAGTGGAGCTTACAGACTAAGACGGATTAGGCAGTAAGGCCCAGCCTGCTGATCTACTTCTGAGAATCAGCCAGTGAAGCCCTATGGAGCACAGGGCTACTGCTCAAAAGTGATCCCTGGGACTAGGCAATCGTTGATCCCTTTGTACATAAGGGCATCATAAGTTTGGGCTGACTTCAGAGCAGCCAGCAGCAGCATTTAACTCTATGTCTACCTCCACAACAACAACAAAACTCTCCTTCATTCTACTTACAGGTGAATAAAACCCCATTTCACCAAAGTAAGGTTACAAATTGTTGGTATTAATATTTGGAATTAGCCCATATGTCCAGGAAATAGATATTTTAATAATAGTATTGATGTTGATATTGGTTAAGAATTAATTTTACGAACAAACACATACATAGATACTAAAGGAAAATATAGTTGAGACCTCTTATATAGAATGAAGATTATCCAATTACCAACCTCTGTTATCACTAATAAACTTGTTTTTGTTTCATTCTGGAATCTATTCTGCCAGCTGCTAGTTTGCTTAACTTCTGCTAAGTTCATTTCTTCCCCATCAAAGGGTATTCTCAATATTTTATGGGCATACTCTAATGACATGTCTGCACATTTCACATGCCAATTTGTCCCCATAAATAGCTAAGCTTGGTTGTGCTGCTACGCTGTGGGCATGTTAGACTCCCTGATACAAGAAGGGGCCTGACACCAACAGAAGTGCTGAGACTCGGTCCAGGGTTGTGGAATCGCCCCAACTGATGTCAGGGAAGGGAAGCTGACAATTTCTGGCTGGTGCCGGGATGCAATTATGCTTCCAGAGTCTGACAAGCTAACCTTGTCCTCTCTACAGCCGAGCTCCTGGCGAGGCAGCAAAGGCCCATGGTAGCCAATTGCTCACTGGGAAATTTCTCTAGGTTCCTCACAATTTTGGAAAACACAGTTCACCCCTCTGACTCCTAGAGTCTGCCAAGCAATCTTTCAGCCCTTCTAAAGAGGACAACACCTTTCTTCAGCTTCAAGGAACTGCACTGCCTCGCCCCGCACACCTCCCTCTTCTTGTCTGCCTTCCTTCTCTCAGAAAGTCACGTTCATCCTCACAAGCTTTCTTGGCACTCTCTTTTGATTCTAAGTTTATCTAATTTAATTTATAATTCTCTCACGCTGTCTTCTAAGCTCACCTTTAGCTTAAGCATTCTATAAATCTTTTCTTCTGAAAATGTCTAAACAATGGCATCTTGAGGTATTCGTATCATAATCTGAGTGTTTATATCATAATTTTTAAAGTTTCTGATTTCAGCATGCACATAACAAATAAGCAACGGGTTGTCTTATGAAGTGGTGTGGCATAGAGGATAATACTATGTGCTCTCGAGCCAGCGCAGGTCCCTGGGTGATTTGCACCCTGTTACTAACCTGAATGTTGGTAGTTCTTTTTTTTTTATTTTAATGTATATATTTTGGAATATCGGTAGTTCTGGCCCATCCTGCAGCACGACAGAAGAATGCACTGTGGAACAGTTCTGTTTCCTACCATGAGTTAGCATGACCCTAAATGAATGCAGCAAGTGGGTTGGGTTTGGAGCCAGCAGACCCAAGTTCAACTCAGCTGTGCCCCTTTTAGCCATGTAATCACGGGAAGTGACCCACAAGCATCTGTTTTTTCATGTGCAAGCTAAGCTGCATGTGGTAACCACGGTGTTCACCTCCCAGAATCATCTAGAGGAGTGAGATAGATAAACCATATAAAACTCTTAGGAAAGCCTAAAAGGCCGTGTAAGAGAGGAGTGGACCTGTGGGTAAAGTCCCCTTTTTGTCAGGTGCATCTCAGAGTTGGTGAGAATCTCCCTACATGAGGGAAAGGCTCTGTGCCAACATGAGAAGTATGTTCCAAATGCCCAACATTAGACACTGAAGTTAAGTGATTAGAACAATCCAACATTGAGTGGGTTCTCCTAAAATGAGCAGAAGCTGTAAGAACCTTGAGAGGGTGCAGAGCCCTGAAATAAAAGATAAAGAATGAGAACGGTAGGTGGTTCCGTGACGAGTCACAGGGTAAATCCAACTAAACGGAAGGGGGCCGGCTGCTGCATCCGAGTCCTGTCAGCATCTACACTCACCTAAATAGATTCAGAATAAGATCACCCGGAGCCGGAAAGGGAAAAGAGAAGCAACCTTAGGACCGGGACAAGACCTAATTTGGCTATTCAAACTTTGGTTCTAGTGATGTGGTGCGACTTGAAAAACCTGATTTGGAAGAACAAAGAAACCAGCTCATTGTGAGGATCAACACTGACAAGAACCAGCTGAAAGCTATCGAAGAGAAAATCCTAAAAATGCTCTATACTTCTGAAGGAAACATTCTAGACAACGAGGAACTTATTGACACCCTCCAGGATTCTAAGGCAAGAAAAAGCTCTTTAGTGTTTATAGAAAGTGGGATGTTTCCAAAGTCACAGCTATGACCCTTGACATTTCCCACAAGGGCTTGTAAAGTACAAATGGCCGCAGACCCAGGGACACAGACAACCATGTGGTGGCCAGCAGAGCCCATCACCAACCAAAGGCAGAACAGAGAAACTAGACAACTGCTCTTCTTGTCGTGTTTGAGTTATAAATAAAACAACTAAGACAAGACATAAGTTGAAGGGAATAAATATAATCATGGTGTATAAACATATACCATATTTTATAGGAATATCACCTTCTCCAGGTGAATTAATCTCTTCCTCCTTAGAACTTCTATAGCACCTTATCTGAATCTCCACTAGAACACATGCTGCTGTCCACCATGTATGCCTGTCTCCCAGTTATTGAATTACATATCTGAGCTCCTCTGCTAGATATTAAAGTGCATGTAGTTGTAATTTGTGAATAGTTCATCTTGACAGGGCTTGCAGGACCAAGCCTGGTGTGCATAATTGGTGATCAATCAATACTTGTTGACTGACTCTCTGGCTGACTGACTGAACACCCTATATAGTAAGACAACCTTCTACATTAAATTCATGTTAAAGGTAAATGGAAATTAAATACACTGAATTATTTCTTCTAGTCTAACCATGATGTACAAAGGGTATGCAGTGAACATAACACACAAAGTTATTTCCATCTGTTCATGAGAAATAAAAATAATTATTTTTAAAATCCCTTTTACTTTACTAGACAAGATACGCATAGGGGTATTTCCATCGGCTTCCATAGACATTAACAACGGTTTCCTGCTTTGTGCCCTACAGTGTCTTGAGGTCTTTGTGTTGGAACAAGAATAAACAAGTCATCCTAAATCTCACATTCCTTTGCTCTCTTTCTATGTTTGCCTGTAGTTCATCTGTCTGTCTGCTTGCCGTTCACTCGTCTTTCTTGGATTTCTAACTTCTAACAATTAGTTGTTAACCTATTTCCACTTCTAGAGGCGCCCTCGTGGTTTAGTGATTATGCCTTGGGCTGAGATTCGCATGGTCACCACCAACATACAACCCTGATGGCCACCAGGGGTCAGCTCCAAGTCATCAGCCTCTCCTCTGAAGAAAGAGGAGACTTTCTGCCCCCGTATAGATTTATAGCCTCAGGAGCCCGCAGGCGCAGTTCTACTCTGTCCTGCAGAGTTGTGGTAAGTCATAACGTACTACATGGAAGCGAATTTGAGAGCTCACTCAATACCGCTCCTCCTTCCCTTTCTGAGCTCTCAAAGGTTCAAAATCTCTTTGCTATCGTTTTCTTGCAGTGTCGGTGAGGAGTAATGGCCGATACAGGTGTTCTGGCTATCATATTTATCTGGAAGCTGGTTCTTTAGTTTAGAAGGAGTTGGTTCGGAGCCAGCCTGTCTATAGAGGAGATACCAGACGGACTCACACTGAGCTACATGTCCTACTAGCTTGTATGTTCCGCTCAAATTCTATTGCCTTCATTTTCCTTACCTCAAGCCTCTAAAGTATAATGTCTGCCAGCAATCACCAAACTCAAGTAAGGTGCCTTCTGCTCTAATATTCTCTGGCCAAAGGGAAGAAAATTGTCCACTTTTCCATTTTCTTTAGCCTGAACTCTACCTTGGCAGGGCTTTGAAAAAGGTTATTTTCTAGCTGGTCTCCTTGATCCCCTAGCACACATATCAATTTCCTTCTCGACTCATAAGGAGGCTTTGCTTGAGTCCAGGATTGAGACTGGAATCTCCTACTCAACTCTGCCTTTTCTTCCACCCACCCCCCTGCCCTCCTACTTTGACACCAAGGAGGCAGTGCCAGGGGCATTTCAGCCTCCAGGTTCCTGGGGACAGCTTCTGTCTTTCTCCTCACTCTGCTTGTTGGCCGAGTGGGCAGTCTAGATGTGTACTATCTGATACAGTTGATAACTGTTTGCCACTGTTTGCTCTTTCATAATTTCATACCAACTGCCTATGGATAATGAGGGTACTTTTGCTATCATTGGTTAAACAAAATGTGGTGTTACCTGCTTATTTTAATTTCCAATATATTTTTTAAAATCCAGAATGACAGAGGTGGCTCACATTACATTTCTTTTGGACAACACCAACCTACACAGAACTAAGCAGAACACAGACACCAATCTAAACAGAGCACTTTAGCAATTGAGCAAATCCTGATCTCCCACTTCCTTCCCAGGGTGCCTTTTTCAGGTCCCTGCCCTCAGCCTGTTGACTTCTTCTAAAGTTAAAGGTTTGCCCAAGCTAGGAATATCCACCACTGATTTTAAAAGGGAGACAGTGGTGGGAGGGGGCAGCAGTAGAAAGAGAGAGACCAAAAGAAACGTAAACAGGAATCTTAAAAAGCCCCTTAACAAAAATGCTCCCCGGAGTCACACACGTCCAAAATACAGAAAACCCCAAACCATCAGAGGGCCTTGATAACATGTCCATTTGCTTCGGTGCATATAACCCTTCACAAGCAACAGCATTATCCTCATTGTTCCTTATGTCCACACCTGAGAATATAGGAACAGGATGAGAATATCGGTCTCCCTATTCCAGGGTGAGAGATGGTACCAACCAACTTCCCTCCGACCTCTTTTGGGCAGTTTCATGGGCATCCCTCTTCCCTTCATGCTTCTTTCATTATGGGGACGCCGAATCCCTTAAGAAGGTCCATAAGGAAATTAGGGAGCACTTGGTAGTACTGTGTTAGTGCTTCTGTTTCAGCAGGAACTCAGATTTATGTCTTAGAGCAGCGGTTCTCAACCTGTGGGTCTTGACCCCTTTGGGATCCTTTCACAGGGATTCATAACAATAGCAAAATGACAGTTATAAAGTAGCAACGAAAATGACCCAAAAGTGGATGAAGGGAGACGTCGGACAGGGCAAGATATGACAAAATACCCATTTATAAACTATCAAGGGCTCATGCAGGAGGGGGGAGCGGGGAGGGA